CCAGTTCAGCCTCGTGATAAGCTGGCAAGGACCGGCCTCTCTATGGGGAAGAATAAGTCTTCCCCCATGGATATTGCTTTTAAGGAATGTGAGTCATTCTCGAACCTGAAGAGTGAGTTTTCCAAGCCCTGTAGCCCAGATATGGAGCTGTGTTTCAGGAGGCAGATTGAATCTGCCTTTCTGCTCCACAGGTCAAGATAAAGCCCTGGCACTCCTCCATGATTGGAACACTCTTCCAAGAGCCCGTGGGTGGGTTTGATGCACAGCGATTGCCTGTTTTGCTGTGATGCTTTCCCGTGTGTTGTGATGGGGAGCAGAACAGAGCCACCATGGTGTCCTGGCAAATCCAGAAGCTTAGTCCCCTGGTTCTTCTGCTAATCAATGATTTTTTCTTTCTAAATATATACCAGCGCTTTATTCAGCAGCAAAATACAGGTGGTGCACACTCAGAAATGCTTTTGCCAGGGTAGCTGACTGCATGGTGATGGACAGTCATTCACACAGCACAGGGGTGGTGGTGAATGGGTAATGCCACCCTCTTGCACTCCTGTGCTTGGCTCTGCGGTAACTGCCATAGTGCTTGTTAAATATGGCAAATGTGGTGCACGGCTGCCCTAAGGCTGGCACAGGAAAACACCAATGGCTTCTAGTCTCATCGTCTCCTGCTCAACACCGGTTTTCTGCTTTGTCTTGCAGCACTGGTTACGGGGAGTGTTTGCTTGATGAACCTTCATCAAGAACTTACACATTGCCTCAGCAGCTCCCGGGCTTGATTTATGACGTCAACAAACAATGTGAGTTAATTTTTGGACCTGGATCTCAAGTGTGCCCGTATATGGTAAGTGAAATTCCACACCTTGGTTTTCCTGGTGTTGCCAGCACAAAATAAGGCCTCCTGGGGTTGGATGAATGGGAGGCTCGCAAGCCATCAAGTTATTGTCAAGCTTGTGAGTTAACTGTAAATCCTAGGGGGATAATTTCATAAAGGATCATCTATCTGGTAAGGCACATGGCACATATTTATTTAATATTTTTATGTTTTCAATAATTTAAGCAGATGCAGTGTCGGCGACTTTGGTGTATTAACATCGATGGTGCGCACAAGGGATGTCGTACCCAGCACACGCCTTGGGCTGATGGGACAGAATGTGAGCCTGGAAAGGTCTGTAACACCTGGTGGTTCATGCCTTGTAGCTGTGTTTCCCAGGGCTCTGGCTAAGCATATCAGTCAAAAAGCATCCTATCCCGATGGCCAGTTGTATGGGGCACAGCTGCTGCCTGCAAGGGTGGAAGCCCAAAGCAGCTCTGTGTGTTTCAAGCCCGGTGCGCACCGGTCAACTCCATCCTAGATAAACCAACTAAAATTGACTGCTTGGCATAACATTGTTTGAAGCAGGTATTCCTTCTGCAGCACTTATCTTTTTAAATTAATGCCCTTGAGCGAACTCCCGGGCAAAACTTTTGCAAAGCTTCCCTAGGCTTTTGTTAGAAATTTCCTGTGTGATGGGAGCAATTAGTAATTTTGTGTAACATAAACTTGCCAACTGGCTTCTCATCTTGACAACTTCAGAGTAAAATATAGAACTGGTTGGCATTTTCTGTACAGAACGTTTTTGGCAGTAATTCATAGAAACTTTAAATTTCCATGTGCAATGTTAGTTTCCAGCTAACATTGTGGTTTCTAGAATAAGTATTTAGTTTTTAGTTTTAGTTGTGCAGATCTGAAGAAAAATAGTTGAGGACTTTTCTTTTTCTTTTATTGAGATACTGAAGCTTTTAAAGAAAAACGCTGACTAGTTTTCATCATTTGTGTCTGAACAAAAATATTCTCCATCTGGGTCTAGTAAAAATAGTGTGATGTTACTCTGCTTAAAAATTTGGTTTTCTGGCTATTAATGATCAACAGTTAAAGTTTTCTTTAGAAAGAGTCAACACTTTAATTCATAGTCTTTCTAATGTGTTTTAATAAAAATATGTGGATTCTATTTTAGATATAATTTTCCATACAGGCTGTGGATCTCCTTGGTAATTAGTCTTCTGTTACACGTGTCTGAAAAGTCAGTTGTTCAATGACACTTGACTGATTTTCTTCAAGACAATGGGCGTAATGTATCAATTTGCCTTCCTTTCTTAGGGAAAAGTGTAGTCAACACATTTGTTTTTATTGTTGAGTCCCCTTGACTTGAGTCATTGTGTCTTCAACTTTTCAGTTTGTGAGCTTGGGGTCTGCTCACCTCTGGAAGTTCAGAAATAACTATTTTCTTGAAATTCCAAAAATCTGGGCTGTGATTTTGTTCCAACAAACCCACCGTTACCCTCAGATATGACCAGAGCGATGTGCCAACAACTGCAAGTGAGCAGATTAGCATGTCCTCCCAGTTACCCTGTGTCAACAGAAAGGCAGTGTCCAGCTGCAGGGCTCTTAATAACGACCGTGTAAGCAAAAACACTTCAGTGCACAAATTTAGACAATTTGACAGGTTTAGACAAATCGGACAAGTGTGACCTGAACTTCTCAGCTGAGAGCAGATGGGCTCTTAAGAAAAGCTAATGCAGTCCACTCATGTTCAGGCATTTGGGTGTATTCTCAAAGAAAAGCTTTACAGAGTAATTCTTTTATCTGTGTGTTGGTCTAATTCAAGCTTAAGGTTTGGATCATCGTAAACTGTCTTTTCCTCAGTGTTTACTTGGGCTTATGAAGTGCTGAGGTGCGAGTCTGGAGTGCTTTTTATTGGAATAAATCACTATTTTGCTACTCTGCTGTGGCCAGGAGCCCCATCAAACTGCTGCTTGCTGACTAATGCCTCGCCTCCAGTCTGCATGTTTAAAGCCCATGATATATGGGTTGGCAGATGGAGAAAATACCATGCCATTTTTTATGGAGATATCTTTGGAAATGAAGGAGCCTGAATAGCTAAGAAAAATCTAGCTAAAACTACTGGGATGTAGATTTAACTGGGCTCTAAATTTATTCTTAAATCAAGGACACTAAAACAACATGGGTGTATTAGCTTATGCATATTTTGCATGTGAGGACACTGAATTTGATATCGCTAAATCAAGTAATAAGCCCAGCCCAGAGTCTGGCCTTTGCTGGCTGAGCACCAGTCGTGATGGTTTACAGTGTTTCACAGCACCAGTGCCTTGTCGGGTGGAAATAAATCACTGCAAGGAAATAAAGAGGGTCGTAAACTCGGGCCTCTATCTCTCGTGGTTTTCAGGGTTGTTTAAAGAATGGTGAAAGAAGAGGAGAGGAATAGTAATCGTTTCTGTCTCCTGCCGTATGGCAGCAGGTAGCATATACGTTATGCATGCATGAAGCTTCACGGCACTTGTCTGCCCCCTGCTAATCTATTCAGCCAAAGTCAGCCCAAGGATGGCAGCTGGATTTGGTGAATTATCTGGGACTCCAGTGGCAAGACAAAGGAAAGGAAAGTCTGTTGTAGTGTCTCCCATCGCTGCCATTGCTCTCCTGCTCAACTGTGTGTCTAAGTTGTTTTGAACTTGCTCCAGACAAAAACTCTTTTATTCTCTTCATTCTCTGATCTCTAAGCTCATAGGAAGGAGAACCCTGGCAGGCTTTTTAGTTTTTCTGTTGTAACTCAACTTAGAAATTATTTTTAAAATACAAAAGGCACGAAGGTTGCGCAGCCAGAGTATTCACAGCATGGTTCCAAGAAACGCCATTGCGTTTCCATAAGATAATCTTACTGTTTATTTAAAACAGCTGCTCTTTTTTTTTTTCCCCTCCTTTGATTTACCATCAACTCCAAACCCCCAATTTTTAATAAAATCGAGGGACATAGGTGATTTCCTGGTTAATTCTCCACCATCGGATGGGAGACATATAGGTCATGTCGCGGTCTGTTAGCTGTGTACACTCGCTAGTTAGCTATTCACTCGTCTTCTCTGGGTCACTGCTGCCAAGCATGACTGTGGTTATATATTTAGCTGTGAGCACCAACATTGCTGCGAGAAGTTCTCCACTGGGAGAGCACTGTTGGATTGGTGTTGTGTATTTTTGTATGTTGGTGATAGCTGACGGACCTCTTTGGCCCTATAGCAGACTGGCATAGGGGGTCCCCATCCTGCTGTTTTTCAACCCTCTAAATGCCAGGAGGAGTTGTGCATTATAAGGGTTTGTCCTGCAGTGAAGAAGGCATTTCGACTTCTTTTGTTCCTGTCCTTTACTCTAGCAGATATTTTTCAGCCAGTTTTTATCTAGGGAATCATATCTTCAGATAAAATGAAATCCTGGGCACATTGCAGCCTGGAGACCATGCTCTGCTGTCCCGCAAACCATGCCCATAGGCAAATGCAACTGAGATCAGCTTTCTTCATCAGCAAAGCAACGTGGCAAGCTGGCCATCGTGGGAAAAAGGTGTTAAACGTGCTGTGGAGCCAGTGTCCTCTGGGCTGGGTGCACAACTCCCAGGATAGCTTGAATTTGCTCTCTTTTGCTAGGCAGATTTCTCTAAGGTGATTCGTAAGGATCTCTAAAAAGGAGGATGAGCTCCTGGTATGTCTTGATACAACCTTGTTTCTAGTATTAGCGAAAGGGCTGGAAAAACATGGCACACCAGTAAATTTGACCCCATTGCCAGAAAGATCATGGGGTGTTTCCCTGCCTGAACAGCATCTGGTGCAGAGAAATATTGCAAAGGAATGTCTTAATGATGCACTACATGTTTTCTTCTTTAAGTCTGTACCCTCTTATAATCTGTGAGCAATCAGCGATGTTTTGACTTCCTATAATTGCAAAGATTTAGGCATCTGTCAGCAAACAAGCACGTCTTGGGGTTTAAATCTGCTTTAGGGTGCACTGTTCGGTGGGAGGGAAGCCCTGCTCTCACCGGTCTTGGGGACACTTTTCCATCCACTCTGGTGGGGCTAGAGGTGACTGTCCTCTAGATCTCACCTCTCCAGAAGTCTGTGTAGTCGAACTAGCAAATATACCCCAAAGGGATACAATTTATACCGTAAAAATGGAGGATGGGGACTTGCCAAGATAATTTAAACCAGTTTTCCAAACAAAAGAAAACAAGAGTTATAGCTGGAAAACAGAAGTGCAGGCCAGGCCTTGGCAAGTCCCATGTTATGGCTGAGTGAAAAAAAAATACTTTGGATTGAGGAATTCATTTTTCTGTTCTATTTGCCCTTTGATTTTGGAAGTTTCCTTTCCCTTTTCTGTTCTGGGGCTTTGTACAGCTGTGGGGAGATTTGAGTTTTCCCTGTTGTCTTCCCTGCTGCCTGTCTCCTCCCGGCATGGTGTGGTTCCTGCTGCTCTCCAGGAAATCAGATAAGCAGCTTTTTGAAAAGCCAGTGCTGCGAGTGTTGCCGTGCTGTTCGGCACCAGTAAACGGAATATTCAGTGGTTGCTGCTGTCCTCAGTCGTCTTCCCGTAAATCACTCCCATGGACTCAGCAGCTTGCCTTCGCTGCTCTGTTTAAGGGTGCAGAGAGGAAAATGGGGATGACAGACAGAAAGTAAAGAAGTTCAATTTTATTTGATTGCAAAATCTCTGCTGCATCTTGCAAGGAGTGATTGAGAAATAAAAAAGCATGGGGTGGGTGTTGGTGTCCGGGCTGGTCACCAGTGGTCGGCTCGTGGTGTGAAAGCAATGCAAACCCACCTTTCCCATCTCTCTCCTTCGCACGCAGCACTGCCGGTTTGGGATGTGCGTGCCCAAAGAGCGAGAGGCGCCGGTGACAGATGGAGCGTGGGGGACGTGGAGCCCTTTCGGGACCTGCTCGAGAACCTGCGGCGGTGGCATAAAGACGGCGATACGAGAGTGCAACAGGCCCGAGTAAGTGCACGGAGGGGAAGCACCGGTGGGTGAACTGGGGAGAAGCAACTGGGTTGCCCAAATGGGCTGAAATCCCCTTCGGCTGTCCCCAGCCCTGGGGACCGGTGGCTTTGCCTGTCACAGATGAAGCAGCACAGGAACCAGGGCGGGGGCTTTTCCCTGTCACAGATGAAGCGGCACAGGAACCAGGGAGGAGCCAGTCACAGGTTTGGTTTGTGGGTGAAGTGCACTAAAAAGGGATCTGCTCAACGGAGAGAGAAGGAAAAAAGCTAATATCTGCATGGTTTTATCACCTCCTGTTTTCCTGGGGAGGCACAGCTGGGGTCCCGCTTCCAAAGGTGTTTTGCTTCCTCCAAAGCTGTGGATCAGAAAGGAGGAAGAAGGGAAGGAGCCATGCTTTTATTGATTTTTCACCCTTTTACCCCTGCTTTGGTTGCTTCTGCAGCTGTTCCTACAGGCCACATCCTTTATATAGTTTTCTGCTGTTATATTCCTGCTTTAGCTGGTTTTGCAGCTTTTGGCTGCTTTTGCAGCTGATCCTTTATACAGTTACATGTCAGCTGGTGCAGACTAGCCAAACCTCAGCAGAAATCTGTGCCCTATTAAAAAGTGGCACTCAAAAACGTTTGCCATCAGCCTGGAATGCAAAATCCTGCCCGCTTTGAATTCCCACGGCAGGGAATTTTGCCGTGGGCTTTAAGGAGACGAATGTGTGGCCGGCAAAATATTAGTAATAGGTTGAGCAACTGGTATGAAAACAGACTGTTTACATAAATTGTGAACTGTGCTGGTTTCTGTTTAACTGCCTCCTTTCAGCCCATGAGAGCAAGAAGGGGGGTGGGCAGGATGCTTTCCAGGCTCTCATTTGGGACTGAGGCATGGAGAGGAGAGAGGTCTGTGGAGCTGGTTGAATCAAGGGGTCTTAAAAAGATTGAGCAGGCAATTTTCCAGTTTCTCATCATTGGTGTTGAACGGCATATTGCCAAGGAAATTGCCGTTAGTGATGCACCAATGACAGTTACATCACTGCTAATGGGAGAACGGAGAGCTTGTTCCTGTGGCACCGGTAGCGAAGTGACAGGAGAGGCTGGCTCAGCGCAGCTGGGCGAGTGTCGAAAGAGAAGAGAAGGGCTGAGGCTAAGGGAGTCAGACACCAGCATGTCAATTAAAATGATGCTGAGAAACACACAAGTGCAAAGTGCTGAGTTAGCACACGCCATATGGTCTTCCAGTAGCCATGGAGACACAAAAATAAAATATCTTTCCACACACAAAAATAGCTATGCTGCCGAACCTTTGGATGCTATCAGTGAGCAGCATTCCCATCTTCTGGAGAGGCATCTGTTTGGACCGATAGCTTTTTGTGATAGAAAATCTCTTTTATCCTAAAGGCTAGCTGAAGGATTTTAAATTTAGTTTTTTCTTATACTTTGTGTTTTATATCTTGGTGGTTTGTGAGGTGTATTGCTTTGACTGGGATTTGCAAGAGCACCTAAATACGCTAGGCACCAAGCCGCCTGAGAAATCCCCTGCGTTTGTCCTTAATAGTGGTTATTTTCCAGACCCACTTTTGAGAGTGTGTAGCTGGCACTGGCCTCTTCTCCAGCCCCTCACAAAGTCTCCGTGGGGAGTCGGCTGTGCTAGCACTGTCCACAGAGCTTTACACCGAGTCTATTCTGTCCCTGAAATTTGACATCGTAGTGTGGGCTCTCACCGTCTGCGTCCCCGGTACCGTGGGGCTGCTGAGATGATGCAAGTGGATGAGACGCCACTGGATACCCTCCTGCCTCTCCCACTTTTCAAAATCCTTCAAAAATATATAGAATAGATGTAGCGTCTGTTTTTCCTGCATAGTAGAAGGCAGCAAAACCAACCCAGATGCCTTGAGTAAGGTCTGAAATAGTTTTCATTAGGTCTTTCATATGCAAAGATGGTTTTGTTTTTTTGAAGCTTTTTCTGTGCATACGGAGCTAGGGTAGGATCTTGCATTCCGATAAAATATTGTGTTAAATCTCGCATTGAAAATTACCCCCCTGCCATGGTACAGAAAACATAGCTGCAGCTCCTGCCTCTGTTTGTAATGTGCTCTGACACCTACGTGGATGAGTATCTTGCAGGGCTGTAGGAAGAGCTGTAAGCCTCCGAAACGGCAGCAGGCTGTGTTTTGACATACGCTGAAGGAATGTATTAGCTAGCCAGACCAGACCCTTCTCACCAAGATTGCCCACTCGGGAATTCAAGGCTGGCTGGTATAGACAAAAGCGCACAGCTGCGGCACGTCACGTAGGGGGTCTGTGATGCAAGCCCTGATTTTCAAAACAAGGCACAGCTGCAGAATTATGGGGAAAAGAGGTATTTCATAAGATGTCGATACCAGGAGCCCTGTTTTCAGGAATGGCTTTCTGGATGGGGGAGTGTTATCTCTAGATGTGAGTCTGATCACGTTTGTGTTTTAGTCCATCACAAAAGTTTCCACCTGTTCTGAAAGCTGAGCTTGATATGTAAACACATCTATAGATAACTCTGCTGGCCACTGGCAGCACATGTACCCATTCCCGGTCCCAGGGCTTCCCGGGATGCTGCAAAGAAGATCTCAAACTGATCTCTAGAGCTTCCTGGATTTTTCTGCAGTCGCTGCCTGAACACAGGCACATAGGCAGACGTGCAGATGGACACACATACCCCACAGTTGGTCTCTAGGGTCTTTTCTCCAGGGCTGAGCACATGCAAAGCACCCCCAAAACAGCGCATCTCGGTGAGATGCCTCTACCTGGTGCTCCTGGACTGCTGAGAGCTGGGCACTGCCTTAAGATCTGCAAGTGAAAGTGTTCAAGGTTAGTAATTGCAGATGATGCATTAAACATCGTATATTTAAGACCCGTTGGAGTGGGAGTGGGGATAGGACCCCACTGTTCCCCAGACCTGTCTGCTGTGTCCTCAGAGTTTCTGACGTGCTAGGAGGAAGACAACAAAGCCGGAGTGTCTACAGGAGCTTGTAAGGGGAATTATGCTCGATCGAAAGTGTGTCTAGACTGGCCGTTAGTTGATCAAGTAGATGATGCAGAGAGAAGGGAAATCGAGAGTGAAGAAGGAGGTTTCTCTGCATGCGCTGCATTCCCTTCTCTCTCTGCCGTACGTCATTGATGATTATCCATAAAGATATTACGTAGTGTGAAGTATCCCGTATTTCTTCGCGGCGCTGAAAATCGATGTTGTATGAGGCTGACTTATTTTTCAGGGTCAGCTCTTTCTGTTTACTCAGACTCTGTGAAAAACAATGCTGGTTTAAAAACACCCTAAAACTGTCAAGGTGTTTAGGGGCTGTTTTGAAATGTCAGAAGCATGAGCGTGCTTCAGCCCCGAACGCTGGCTGCGGGGAGATTTACTGCCACAGTTACAAAGCTGGCGGTCTGCAACGTGATGGCAAGTTTTAGCATCCTTCAGTTTGTGTGTGTCCATGTGTTCAATGTTATCTCAATCTCATGGGTTATGTCTAGAGAAAAGGAATCTATATAGTAGCTTGAGATCTTTGGATTTTGTTAGATATACCTTTAAAAAAAATAGGCTTCTGCATGTTCTTCTTAACTAACTTAATATTTGAAAGTCTCATTTTAATTAAGTTGATTTATATTGAAAGCAAGGTGATTTAAAATGTTGTAATTGCAATTTTTTTAAACAAATGCCCTGCTCGAGGTTTGCATAATTTAGAGCCTTTGTCAAACCGCAACAGTCCTGCTGCGGTATAAACACTTCCAAAGTCAAAATGATGAATCCTGTGAACTCCCCCATGAACAATTTGGGCTCACCGAGGTCTGGAGTGTGCTGCTGCCACAGCTGAGAAATTTCCCTCGGCGCTCTGTAGCGAGATGTTTGAGATGTCCCTTTGTAGCTGGAGGTAGGTAATGCACCTGCATGGGAATAGTCTACGGAAAGGACTTCGGTGGTGAGAAACCCCCAGAAACTGCCATTGTGCCTGTGAGGCTGGAGGAGCCCAGGATGTGTCCGGAGGGGCTGCTACCCTGGGTTAGCTCTGGAGGAGTCCCAAGAGTAATCAGTGAAATTAATTCAAGTTGTTTATCGTACCAAGGTGGAGAATAGACTAAATCGGTAGGAACCGGGTTTAGATTTGCTCTGACAGGAGCTGGTGTGAAACCAGTCCATAAACTGAAACCTACGCCGGGCAGTTACTTGGGCTTTTTATCACTGTTACTTGCTTAACTGTAACCACCAGTTACCCCTCAGCGTTTAGGATAGGACTTGGGGGATCAGCAGTGTGTATCTTGGTGAGGAGAGGGTGCTGGCAGGAAAAAAATCCCATGTGCGTAGCTGGTGGTGGTGCTCTGCGTCTCACCTGCGGCTGCTGGAGGAGGCAACTCCTTCTGCCAAACCCGTGAACGTCCCTAGCGTGGTGCTGATGGAGTACGGGCAAGTGTGCCTGCCCTTCCCTGCTTTGCAGGTAGTCTTTAGGGAAGCGCAAACCCCTCTGCGTGCCTCTATCTCCCCACTTGAGGAGAACTCTGCCACTCGAGCCACAAATAGTTTTCAAACGTTAGAGTGAAGAATTGTTGTTTCTGGGAGAACAAGCACTGCTGGGCTTCATAGGTGGTCAATGTGTCTGTACTTCAAGAGATGCTAAGAAATTGTGTTTAGCTGTAGGAGCTGGTTGACTCGCTATGAGTAGAGACCTTCATACATATGCAAGGGGTTTTATCTCTCTGGTGTTAGAAGGTGCTGTGATTGCGTGTGGTGTGGCATCTCCATGCTAAGGGCAGGGATGCTTCCTGTTTATCACTCAGTTCATGTTTCAGAGGGTCACTGAGTGTGCAGACCAGCTTCCTTCCCTTCAATGGGAAGATGTGCTCTTCCAGCATCCCAGGGCACCGATGACCATCTGGTCCCACAGCGAGGCAGACCCGATCCTGAAGGAAAGCCCCTGAAGGGCAGGAGATGTGGGAGCCAGGACTTCAGCACCCAGCATGTTGCCTTTCTGACCTGCACTTCTTGCTAGCGCAGGCACTTGTTTTGTTCAGGGGCTGGGTAGAAGATATAGGGTTACTGGTTATTTTGCAGCAGAGGCTGGTGGTGAGCACAGACATCGTCTTGGACTTTGAGAGCTGCTCTCTTCCTTTGTACATGTGCCCTGGCACAATATGGTCAGGACATGGTGGCCTTGACTGCTCAGGATGCTCTTGCCGTCCCCTGTCTCCTCTGAAATGGTCTGTTAAAGGCAAGAGCCAGGGCTAACCTCAGGGTGGAGGCTTGCCCATGCTGATGGCTGAGGTGCACGTTAACTTCATCTCCTCTCGGTGCAGGTCCTAGTTGGTGATATTTTTTTCCCTTTTGGATAATTACAGCTTTGCCCAAGTTGACCCTGGCAACGTTTCATCTAGATTGCAATATCATTCCTTCTGTAACATCAGGGAAAAGCAAAGCTGTTAGGGTGGTTCTGCAGTTTTTGTCATGCATATTAATGGTGAGAGCTTGTAGAAGCCTCCGGCTTGCCCTCCCAATGTCATTTGAAGTTTCAGGAGAGACCAACAGAGGCAGTAGGGTGTTTTTGGAACATTTCAAACATGGTGCATCCTTTTTTATTTTATTATTACAATTCATTATATACACAGTTAGGCATATGAAATCTTGCCTGAATTCCTAGAAGAAACCTCCTTTGAACAGACAGTAAATAGGATAGCTTGTATCCCAAGGGTACTTTCCTCATTACCGTAGCTGAAAATGAGTCCTCACCAGAGAAGTGCCTCCTCTTGGGCCCCTCCGATGCCGTCCGTGCGCACCTCGCTCCTGCACCGCTGCTGACAGTGGCTGGAGTGGGAGAGACTTGTTCGGTCCCCGAAGCAAACTATTGTCTGGCAAAGGCTCCGTCTACGTACGAGGACAAAAATAGTTTTACAACTAGACCCCTGGATCTGGGAGTCGGGAAATTCAAAATGAGAATTCCTCCTAAGCTTATCCGCTGGCTTTTATGTGGCTTGGATGATACCACTCTCCCCAGTTTCTACCAGAGTCATCCTACTATAAAATGGGAGTGAAGTATTTATTGGCTGTCTTTGGTACTTTCTGGAATATGTGGAGACAAAGTTGTTTAAAAGTGTCTAGCATTAACTCTTCTACCATTTTGCCCTAGAAATCCCGAAGGACTAAGTGCCGCCTGGCCTTTCAGCCTCTGCAGGGAAGCCCTTTCTCCTTTCTGCCATGATGTTTGGTTATTTGCAACCTGCTAGATCAGATGCAAACTCTCAGCCACCAAATCCATAGGATTGATGGGGTTGGGGAGGGATGGTTTCGTATGGAACCCTCAGTGTGAAACTAAATCATCAGTTAGGGAGGAAGGTGCTTTTTCCTCTCTGACTTCTCTCGCTACTCTGCATTCATCAGAGAGCAAATATTCCCTTTTTCATCTCTTTTTAGCATCATGTATATGATCTTTTTTATTAGATATCTGCATAACCTCTCCTGCTGTCAGCCTGGGACATTAATCATAGACATGCACCATGACAGAGCCCACAAAATGGTGTTGTGAACCCTGAACAGGCTGCAGAACTGCAATCACGTCTTGTTTCCACAGGCCTAAAAACGGTGGGAAATACTGCGTGGGTCGTCGCATGAAGTTTAAATCCTGCAACACCGAACCGTGCTCGAAGCTGAAGAAGGATTTCCGGGACGAGCAGTGTGCCGACTTCGACGGGAAGCACTTTAACATCAATGGGCTGCCCACGAACGTGCGCTGGGTGCCCAAATACAGCGGCAGTAAGTGGCGGGCGGGGAACACGCAGATCCTGCCTCCCGCATCGCTGGGTCGGAGCGATGGTGTTGGGATAACGTGCTTCTGGTTTTTCCTCCCTCCCATCCCCAGTTCTGATGAAGGATCGGTGCAAGTTGTTCTGCCGGGTGGCGGGAAACACGGCGTATTACCAGCTGCGGGATCGTGTCATCGACGGGACGCCCTGCGGACCCGACACCAACGACATCTGCGTGCAGGGCCTTTGCCGGGTGAGTGTTTTCCCTTCTCTTTAGCGAGGGCGATCACAGTTCCACGTGGCAGGCTGATGCTCCCGCACCTTGCTCCAGCCAGTTATCGGTGTGGCCGCTTTGTGCTGGGGCTGCCGGCAGCATCCGCAGGCTCCGCAAACCCCGGCTGGTCTGAAGCTTGTGGCAATGTCCAGGGTTGCAGAAGAGTCGTGCGTGGAGGATGTCTGTGCGTCTGTCCTAAGTCACTGAGGGCTGGGGAGGTCTGAGTCCGCATCCAAACGATGCTTCCTTCTGTGCTCTGCCCCAATTCTTCCCGGTCAGACCCCGGAGCACTTTACGTTTCCATTCACCATTGTTTTTCATACTTTCCTCTATGGGAGCAACCAATGCAAGAAGTTTTCTCTAGTGAAGGGCATCGCCTGGTGCAAACGGCAGTTCTGGTTCTCACTTTGTAAAAAAAGCCTTTTGTTTGAAAATGGTGTGGGATGGCCACGCTGTAAATCAGCGGAAAAATGTGGGGAAGCAGAACAATTTGTCTCACGGCAATCTTTTGCATACAAAGCTTTTGCGTGCCTTAATTGGGAGGTTTGTAAATGCTGTTCTAGTCTGTATTTGCTCAATCTAGTTTTTTCAATTCCTCTCTTAAAGCAAGCTGGATGCGATCATGTGCTGAATTCAAAAGCAAGAAGAGATAAATGTGGTGTTTGTGGTGGGGATAATTCTTCATGCAAAACTGTTGCAGGCACATTTAACACGGTGCATTATGGTAAGAATCTGTTGCTAAAAACTTTATAGTGAAAAATGCGAGTCTATAAAAGCTATTACCACACTTAATCTCCAAAAACACTGATGTAGAATGCAAAATCCTTCTAGCTATAGCGTATTCCCTTTTATAACTATTTATGCTATCCCTAAATGAAAAGTATCGGCTTGTGTAATGTGAGGTGATTTTGCTCATTTCCTTTCCCCCTGTAAAAAGCAAATGAAATGTCTGTGTAATAGCCTTGACTTCCTGTTAAATCTCTTCTAGGCTATAACGTTGTGGTCCGCATCCCAGCTGGTGCAACAAATATTGATGTGCGTCAGCACAGTTACTCAGGGAAACCAGAGGATGACAACTACCTGGGTGAGTTGCAGTCCTTGTTTCAGTCCAGAACTCTGCTTTATTGTCTGGTTGTGGTGATACATCTACTGGCTGCTCTCTGCTAGGGAGGATGAAGAATTCATTTAAGGGAGGTGTTTTCTTATCAGTAATTTCTCTCACATGTCTATGAACCTCATTTTGCTCCTTCTTTTTGTTCATGCCATCCTTGATACAAAGCTTGGGAGGCTCTTAGGTTATAAGAAGTAACTCATTAGAATATCTGGGGCTGGGAAGGACTATGGAGCCCAGGCTGTGGGTGGGAGCTAAGGCACTAAGCTGGGAACCAAACAGGTTTCTGAGTTCTGCTGGAGTCTCCTCATTGCGACTTAACACATCTCTGCTGTCACCATGCCTTGGCTGGAGAGTAAATATGCCATACCCTGAAAGACGTGTGTGCAAACAAACCCAAAGAGAAATTATTTTCTATTCCCCTGAGAATAATGATTCTGATTTCACTTAGACTGAGCCCTTCTTGTCCCTGCCTGACAACAATACGTAACTGTAATGAAATACCCTGTTCCAAAGGTGTTGGTTTGATTTAAATTTAACAATAACTTGGCCTTTGGCTGTTGGACACTCATAGTCAAGGTTTTCTTTAATCTGTGGGTATGTCTCTAGAGCCAGATGAAAACGCTTGTGGTGCTGTGTGAGACAAGTCTGCTGCGCACACATGTCCTTTTAGCATGGCCATGTGTCTCTTTTCCACCATGCTGATCCGTAGTCCATAGAATCATAGAATGGTTTGGGTTGGAAGGGACCTTAAAGATCATCTAGTTCCAACCCCTCTGCCACAGTTCTGTTTTGGTTCGACAGCAGAGACAACACAACCACACCTTGCAACTGATGTTACACATGCCAGTTGAAGGCTGGTTTTGCCATTGAGCCCTGTTTGTGTCCCTCAGAGCCTGTCCAGGCTGCTGACGGAGCAGGGAGTCAGGCTGTGGCCCCTGGCAGTCCCAGGGAGATGACTGCTCTTCCAGCTTGATTCCTTCTCTTCAGCTCGCCCCATGGCTGGCACTGCCAGCTGCGCTCCAGTAGCACGGGGTCTGTATTTACATCCCTGAGCAGGGCACTTCATCTCGTTTCGCCTCACAAAATCCCCAAGTTGTTGAGTGTTTTTGCAAAATATGGGGCGTAGCCTAAGTGCTCGCTGTAACTGGGTATGTTAAAAATGGGACTAGGCTAGTGCTTCCCAGCCTGTTGAAGGTAAAGGAACTCACTTGAGAAACAAGTAGAGGAGACTGTCGTGCACCAAAGGGAAACGGTGCTGACAGCTTTGGCTGTCACCTTGAAATGCCCTCCGTGTGGCTGGGCCCTTCATTCAGGTTAAAAGCTGAGCGGGTCCTCCCTCTCCTCGTTCCCAGACGGAACAGGGGTCATGCCAGGCTGTCTGTCCCTGCACGCATGCGGCCGTTCAATTCCAGCCGCCTTGCGTGGTTTCTGCACGTTGACAGCAGCCAAATGAGATGGTGCAGCATGAATGCGCATTGATACCAAGAAACCCTTTCTGAGGTGTGATAGTTCTCCATCCCGGGGGAGGGAGATACGTTTCATTATTCATCTTTTCTAGAAGAATAATCCTCCCCGTGTTGTGCCAGTTCAAACTGGTTCACCCCAGAAGGAGCCCCAAAGAACTTCTCAGCTCTTCTTGGAGGGCCTTTAATCTTCTTGGGAAGCAATGAAGTCAAGTCGTCTTTAATGTTGCTTTAATATTGCTGGGAAAGCATCTCCTCACATTAGGCCTGACTAGAAGCAAATGAGAAGCGTGCATGTGTCCACTTATTTTGCAGCTCACTGAGTGTGAAATCCTGGGCCCTCAGTACTGTGAACCTTGTAGTTGCTTAACAATTTAGGAGGAATTTGATGTTGTCATCAAGTCCAAGACGTGTACCTACTGTTGTAGGAGATACAGCAAACGGGAAGGAATCCTTTAATGAGTTTTACTGCTGCCTGATGACATTAAAGCCTCCAAAGTGTGGAATTTGGTTGAGTATAGTGTCTGCTTTGTGAGTTTCCCCTCCATCTATGTCTGTCTGCTACTGAGCAGTGTTTTGCTTCATTATCTCTCCTCATTCGATGTAAAAACCTTCCCTTTGGTGTTTTGGTGTTAAGTTTAGATTTTTCAGTACAGAGGCTTTGTAGTAATGTAGCTGTGATGGGTGAAATGGTGGGGAAACTAACTTAGGAAATTAGCTACATAATCGCATTAGTGTGAAGTTGTGCAGCAGACTGCTGTTTTCAGGAAACTGTTCCTTTTATAAAGCATTTAGGCTTTAAGCCTTCGGTGCTTTCACATACCTTAAGATTTGGAATAATAAAAAGTACAGGGGGAGGAGAGAGAGAGGGAGATACTGACCAAACTCCCTGTAATTGTCTACTAGAAAACAGCGTTTGGGCAATTAGGGTACATACATTTACCCTAAGAACACACCTGGAAGCAAGAGAGGGGAGCCACCCGATCCTCGCTGCTAACAAAAAGCTTTGGGCAGGGGTGTGCGAGGGGATGCAGACCGCGTGCGCGGCGCGCAGCAGCCGGCCCGGCGTGCCTTTGGGTATCCCTCTGCCCTGGGTGATGGGGGAACTACTTAGCAACACCTTCAGGCGTTCAGCCTTCGTTTGTAACGAGGCTCTCCAGTGGAAAAAGGAGACGGCACAATGTCTGTAAGAGCTCTGCTGCTCTCTTTACATCCTTGTTCTTTGAGAGTGCCAGTGGGCTTTTCCTCCCACCCCGGTGAAAGGGAGGGAGCCCTGACAGCGCATGACCCACGTTATTATGTACGTATGAGTTAATTCTGCGTCTTTAGTTCTTGTTTTTTGCACCTATGCAGCCTTATCTAACAGTCAAGGAGACTTTATATTAAATGGAGACTTTGTCGTCAGTATGTTTAAAAGGGAAATCAAAGTTGGGAATGCTGTGATCGAATACAGCGGATCGGATAATACTATTGAAAGGATTAATTCTACAGATCGGATTGAGCAAGAAATAACGCTTCAGGTGAAGTATATGTTGTGCGTCTGGAAAAGTCTGCCCAGCATTATTGGACTGAAAACAGTGGGCAGCGAAGTCTGTTGGTTTACTCTGCTTCCTCTTTATTTCCCCTCAGGTTTTATCAGTGGGCAATTTGTACAATCCCGACGTTCGTTACACGTTTAATATCCCCATTGAGGACAAACCTCAGCAGTTTTACTGGAACGCGTATGGCCCGTGGCAGCCCTGCAGTAAGCTCTGCCAAGGTGGGTGCTTGGGAAGGCTTCAAAGAAGACACAGTTTTGTCCTGGATTCATCTGGGATCTGGGCAGTACTGTCAAATCCCTGTCCGTTTGCTTTCTTTGAGATCCTCACGTTATAGGCAGGATTGTTTCGCTGGGCCGCAGTGGTAGATGCTGTCACACAAGGTGTAGCACTGCTCTGCTGCTTCTTGGACCAGGAGCAGGGCACCTTTGCAGCCCCCTCCGAGCCAGGTAAGCCGTGCAACCTGGTTTGCAAACGAGGAAGCACATGCGCAAGAAAGGTTATGTGGCATTTTCTAAGGATATTCCTCCAAAAAATAAAGGCATCAGTGTCTGTTCTGGGTCTGACGCCCAGTCGTTACCCCCCGCCAGCGCTGACCCTGCTAACGGCATGGAGCTCTGCCTGCGTCCCCCTCGTCTGTGTTAGACCCTTTCTGCTCTTCTTCGAGAGCCTTAACCCCCTCCCTGTTTCTGAAAGAGATTTAAAAGCGTGATTAAATATCTCTTAATTGCTACTGTGCAAGGAGTAAGAGAAATAACTGATTTGATTGCTTTCCTGTATGGCTTAAAAAAATGTCCTTTTTTTTTTTGTGTAGGAGACCGAAAAAGGAAACCAGTGTGCACGAGAGAGTCGGATCAGCTCACAGTGTCGGACCAGCGATGTGATCGCATTCCCCAGCCTGAGCCCATCACTGAGCCTTGTAGTACAGAATGTGAATTAAGGTGCACTCTACTCAGCCACGTGTATACATTACACCCTATATTTATTGTTTACTCCTCTTTCCTTTCACATCTCACTGCAATTCCTTTTCTCACTTGCTTGTATTAGATTTTAAAAAAAGAAAAGGATTAGCAGTTGCCTCTTTGTCAACCAAGAGGGATTGACACCCACCAGCTGTGCTTTGAGAGGCACTTTTCTACATTTTCGCATTTCTCTTGTTGGATTAAACTTGTACAAACTATAAAAAAAATTCACCTAATGTTGAAAAATCTCCCTGTGCAATACAGTGCCTGAAATTCACATCTGCCTAGATCAGAAATGCTTAGCACCGTCCTACAAACAGCCTGCAAAGAGGGAAAAACATGTGCTCAAAGCAAAAGAGTAACTAAAACTTGGATTTATTATCATTCGCTTAAAGCAAAGAATGGGCTTAAGCGTAGAGCAGGTTTGGGGCTGTCCCCAGACAACTCCTGGCGAGCTGGAATTGATGGAGCATGGCCTAAATCATTGCAACCCGTTTTCCCTTAAATAGCAATCTGTTTTCCTTCCTGGAGCTTAAATATGGTGGCATTAAATGGCTGCTGGTGAAGTAATTCAGATGGCCGCGTTTCCCAAGGGGTTTCTCTGGCTGCCTTCAACCCGGGGCTCTATAGAGGCTGTATAGGGGCTGTAGGTCAGGTTGTCGCGGTAACAGCTGTTGCCATTGCAACAGGTTGGAAACTTGAGAAGGGCAAATGCAGGAGTTTGAAAAGCAGGCAGGGACGTGATTGCTCCCACCCGTCAGGAGCTATTGACTCCAAATCCCCTTGATCTTATTCTTCTCCTAGCTGGGCTGAAGTTTGCTCTCTGGGCTTTGGAGCGGGGCTCCACGCTCCCCACACAGCCCCTTGCAACAGCCCGACGGTCTCCAGGACCCACAGGGGACATCACTGCCTCCTTCCCCAGGAGCCATCCTTGTGAGGCTATCAGCTCCTGTTGGCTCCAGGGTCTCCAGCATCGACTTGGATCAGATCTCATGTCCGGTGTCTCTAGCCAGAGCTGAGGCCGGGGCTGATGTAAAGCAAGGGTGTATCCCCAGGTGGGTCCTTGAGGGCCACCAGCGCTGGCCCTTGCTGCCCTCCCCAGGAAGGAGGCACCAGGGTGGGAGTCCATCCAGAGAGGACAACCCTGATTCCCACTGGTGTGTCTTAAAGCAAAGAAATTCGTTCACTCTTTGGAGAGCTGAAAGTGTTATGCGGGCATCCTGCCTCGTGGAATGCCTTGTCACACCTTTCAAGCCTGTGCAGGTCGTTTTCTGATGCTGTGTTTTTCAGCTTTTCATTTTTAGAGGCCAAGGTGGCTCTCCTGCAGGGAAACGTGGGGTAGAAAGCCTCCAAAGCACTGCTCCTTGCTCGGCCATGGGTTCTCCCCGCCGCCTCGCATGGTCCTGCAGGGTCGTAGCATGGCTTTGTTGCCTGTAAGAGTGACCTGGTGACAGTTCCTTCCTGGCAAGGAGCAATGCCAGGGTTAATTGCCTCAGGTTTTTGGAAGCCACAAAGCATTGGGAAATATTGTAAAGGGCCAAAACTTCCAGTTCAAGAGTATATATTCCTTATTTATGTCAAACACCCCTGAGCATGTTACCTGCAGAGTCTCAAAGCAACTTCTGCCTCCTCTGATCTTCTCCAAGACAGGTGCCTTCATGCGGGGTGGTGGGTCTTTGCCACGCCAGGGCTGACATTTGCTTTCCCGGGCTCAGGTGGCACATAGCGAGGAAGAGCGAGTGCACAGCGCAGTGCGGGCTGGGCTACCGCACCCTGGAGATCTTCTGCTCCAAGTACAGCAGGCTGGAGGGGAAGATAGAGAAGGTCGATGACCGCTTCTGCAGCAGCCAGCCCAAGCCGAGCACGAGGGAGAAGTGCACTGGAGACTGTAACGTGGGCGGGTGGCGGTACTCGGCCTGGACCGAGGTAAGGGATGCTCAGCAGTGTGGCAGGCACTGTCTCCTGCTCCCGTGGGGCTGTTGGGCTGTTTAGGTTGCCCACAGCGTAACAAAGTTGGCCACAGTGATTCCGCTTCTGTCACTTTTACTGGAGAATGCTGTTCCAAATCAGCCTGATGCTCCTTATTTTCCTCTGCAATGAGTTTATACATTTAAGCATCCTAAGGTCTGTCTTCTTTAGGCTGAGCCTTGCTGGCTGTCTTCTCCCATCATAGAGAGAAGAAATTTGAAATTTGTTTCTTTTACACCTTTTTAGCAGAATATTCCAGGCACTGACAGAATGACGAGCCTGGAGCTCTCCAGGGAGGGCACAGTGAAGTTGGGCAGGCTGGTTAGACAGAATTAATCTCTCCTGAAATGCGAGCAAGCAACAGCCATTTGGGAGAACTGAAAGGCAACACTTGTAAAAGTAACAATGGGATATAACCCAAAGTGAATTTGTGAAACTCATTGCTGCGAGATTTATTAAGCTTAGCAAGATTGAATTTTTAAAAGAATATATAAAATAACAGCTTGTTACTTAAAGTACAGATTGTTCTTCTGGAGGTTTTTTGCAGTCTCTTCACAGTCCTGGCTGCAAGGAGGGGAGAAGGAAATAAACGGGCTCTTGGCCCATAATAGAGTGGCAGAAAGTATTTACTCTGTGTCCCTCCTTCCCAGTGCTCCAAGAGCTGCGGCGGGGGCACGCGGCGGCGGCGAGGCATGTGCGTGAAACGACGTCCTGGACGACAGCAAGTGCAGTCAGCAGGAGAAGCTGACGGTGCAGCGGTGCAGTGACTTCTTGTGTCCCCAGTGGAAAACTGGCGACTGGTCCGAGGTAGGTGCTGGTCCCTGCGGTGAGCCCACCCTCCTGGTCCTCCACCCCGAGGGGCTGGTGCTTGCAAAGAGATAGCTCTGTCCTTGTCCCTGCTCATCCCTCATGTTTTGTTGGTGCCTCAGGGTGTGGTGGCACCGTGTCCCCTACAGGTCTCCCCAAGCCTGTGCACAGGGAGGCTTGAGACAGACAGCAAAGTTACTGGCCATGTCACCGCTCGCCAAGTGGCCCTTCCCCTCTCTGCCAAGCCCTACGGGGCTAATTCCTCTCCATCCTGCTGTAATTTCTCCCCAGTTTTTCCACAGTTCTTCTGCAGCTTTGAGAAGGAAAAATACCTTCTGCCCTGATTTTTCCTCGAGATTGTCCTCATGAGCCCTGGCAGCTCCAGCTGTCGCTGGAGGGCAGGATTTCACCCTGCTAATGTCTTGTTCAGCCCTCTCCCTGCTCTTTATTATCATTCCCTTTTCCACTGCTGCTGGTGTCCTGTGCAATGCAACAAAACCATATCTTGATAGGTGTTTCCCTGCAGCAGGACCAGGGATGAGGGAGAACAGTATTCAAAGGCTTCCCATCACCTTTGCGGCTAAATAGCTCTCATTTCTGTGAATCATGTTCTTTTTAGGAAATAATGAAAGCAATGAAGCAGGAACAGGGATTGTTCTCTGCAAAATATCTGTCTTCTGGGTCAAGCTGCTGGCAGTCCAGGCCATGGTGGGGTGGTGGAAGAGGCACTTACAGCATATGGGGAGCTGAGACCCTTGAACCAAACAAAATTTTTTGCAAGCCTTTGGCCCCCTGTTGCGCACAGATAAAGCCCTGTCGGGTGCTGCTGTGGCTTTGCCCTGCGTCTTACTGGTACTGGAAGTAACAAACCGTCACGGTCTCGCTTTGTCCATGCTGAAGGGTTCCAGCCCGGCTGTGCTCTCCGTGCTCCAGCCTCTGCTTTGGAGCAGCTCCTGAGAGCGATCCTGTCTCACTGCAAGATGCTTGTGCTTTTCCCAGCACACATGGTCGTTAGCTAAATACCCACCTCTCAGCACCAGTTTTTAAGCAGTAGTTGCACTGGGTCTCCAGGTTTATTTTTTAGCACCGGGGTGGGTGCTGAGCTGGCAGCACATCCCCAGCAGCGCCTGAGCTTGGGCTTTACTCCTGGCAGTGCCTGGTCACCTGTGGAAAAGGGCATAAACATCGGCAGACCTGGTGCCAGTTTGGAGAAGATCGGTTAAACGACAGGTTTTGTGATCCCGAAACGAAGCCGGAGTCGGTGCAGACGGGCCAGCAGCCGGACTG